AAACTACTCTATAAACATGGAGTGCATTAGTACATACAGTAGATATACAGTACAGCACAGCATTTACTGTACATACACTGTGTGTAATTACTTTCAGAGAGTCATGGAGTTGGAGGCCAATCAAGTCCCACATGAAATTATCTGTGTTGACGAGGCTGGCTTCAACTTGGTGAAAAGGCGTCGCCGTGGGAGAAACATAATAGGCCAAAGGGCCACAGTTACCGTGCCGGGCCAGAGAAGAGCCAACATTACCATGTGCGCCGCAATCTCCAACAACGGTGCACTCCTGCATAAATGTCAGATTGGCCCCTACAACACTGACCGCCTTCTCCTGTTTTTAGAAGACCTGCACGAAAGACTGGTGCCAGAGGTAGAAAGGGGACAGGTGGGACTCGGGAGACCACTTGCCAATATATGTTATCACATGGGACAATGTGGCATTCCACCACTCCCGTGCAGTCACAGCCTGGTTTGACACCCATCCAAGGATGATGTCCCATTTCCTTACCCCTTACTCCCCTTTCCTCAACCCCATTGAGGAGTTTTTCTCAGCCTGGAGATGGAAGGTTTTTGACCATCGTCCACATGACCAAATGTCCCTCCTGGATGCAATGGATGCTGCATGCCAAGACATCACAGCTGAACACTGCCAGGGGTGGATAAGGCATGCCAAAAGATTCTTCCCACGATACCTTGCCAGAGAAGATATCAGGTGTGATGTGGATGAGAACATGTGGCCAAATGCAGAAGACCGAGCAGAATAGAAGATTACTTTGTTTTTTTTTTATTACAATTCCGGTGCTTTTTCTGTCTTACAAGCCACTTGTAATCTCTGAAGGCTGGCTTTTTGATAATTCCACCATGAGTTAGCTGTGTGCAGTGAGGTACAATATGATCGAAACAAGTTCAGTTTTACATCAGAGCAAAATCCAAACTTTCTAGATAGTACATTTGCTTGTGCATATAACATCCGACACTGACGATAGATATGCTCCTCATCATCAGACAGGCGATCTGTGATCACATGACCCAGATACTTTATTTCATCTGAGACTCTCAGTAAATTGTCAGACAACTTAAAGTCCAGAAATATCATGCATTTGTCTTCTTTAGTTCGGCAGATCATAATTACACTTTTTGCCGTATTATATTCGACATCATGTCGTTCACCGTAGACAGAACACACATTAAGGAGATGCTGGAGACCAGCTGAACTTGGGCTGAACACCACTAAGTCGTCAGCATACATTAGGTGATTTACTATGGTGCTTCCAACCATACAGCCAGTTCTACACATGTTTAACTGCTTAGAGAGGTCATTCATGTAAAAATTAAACAGAACAGGTGATAATATGCTTCCCTGTCTTACTCCATTACATACTTGAAAAGGTGCAGATATACAATTGTCCCACTTGACCTGCATGATCTGGTTGGCATACCAAAAACACAAACATCTAACGATATATTTGGGAACACCGGCTAGACACATTTTTTGAAATGATTAACACGATCAAAACACAAAAAAAACAGTTGAGTTTTTGCTCTTATAGTTATTTAACAGTTCCTTTAGGGCAGTGTTTCTCAACCCAGTCCTCAGCGAACCTCAGCCAGTCCACGTTTTTGCTTCCTCTCAGCTCCCAGCACCTGCACCAGCTATTCGGTGTTCCTGATTGGCTGGGAGCTGGGAGGGAGCAAAAAACGTGCACTGGCTGGGGTTCGCTGAGGACTGGGTTGAGAAACACTGCTTTAGGGCATATATGCACATATCAGTGCCACATTTAGGCTTGAACCCAAACTGATTGTCAGTAGACATTACTAATTTGTCTATCCTCACCAGGAGAATTTGTTCAAGCACTTTAGACAGTGTACTTGCAAGAGCAATGGGTCTATAATTGTCAGAGCAACCCACTTTTCCTGCTTTGTCCTTCACCACAGGGACTAAAAGAACCTTCGTCATGGAGTCTGGAATAAAACCATGTACAATAAAGGTTCCATAGTATGGCACAAATAAAATGTAATGCTTTGACATGAAAATAAGATACTGAATTTTAATTTGGACTGTATGAAACACGACAAGAACGAGGATAATCCGCGATAATCTACCTCAGTCTTTTATACTTTTTATTGAAAATATTTTTTACATAACTTTTGACACTAAAAATTAAACGAGTTTTTCGGAGATTCCTGACACACGCGCAGTCGGGTGTTCGACATGAGCAGGTGCTTGCGAGGGGGTAGGTTGCCTGATCACCTCCCCGAACTATCCCCGAAATTGTCCCACTTTTGAGTCAGTCACCGACGATCACGCAAAGTTTACTGATGGGACCTCCCCCTGGTCGGACGAATACCGATCACCAACGATCACGCTAAATTTCCCGAGGGGGACTCCCCCCTCACCGATAGAGCACATGCCCCTCGAAAAGTCTTTGCTTGACACTGATTGTAATATTGATGGTATAGTTGTGCCTGCGGTTCACGAACGCTGTGGCCTTCGAACAATTTGGTTCGCGATCAATAATTTCGTGGGCAAAAAATGCATTGGTTCGCGAACGTGTAGCACAGGCGGGGCGCATATCCCAGCATGCCCCGCGTGAAATTGTAAATAGAAGGATCACAACAAGCAACCAACGAGCACCGAACTCAAATACACAGACAGGAAACGCAAGGTTGTCAGACGCCGAACTGCAAGACGCACATACGGTGGAAGATTTACACAAGCTAAATACACGCGAGGATCAGACCGGGTATACACAAGACATGGGCAAACACGCGCGCGACAATAGGGAAATGCGACCATTAAAATTAACAACAATACAAGGGTTAAGGACTGTTAATAAAGAGCGTGATTTCCCCGGCAAGCAAGTCTCCATATTTTTCTCTGCTCCCGCGATGCCTCGGTCCGCCCGTCGCCACACTATTTTGTTGTTTTCTTTGTGTTTAGGTTTTTACTATAAAAAAACAGAAAATTAATTAACAAAAATTCTTATTTGGTAGGCTTGTGAACAAATTGATAGAATTTCAATGCTTTCTTATGGGAAAAATTGCCTTGGTTCGCCACCACTTTCCTAAAACATACGGATTGTGTTCGTGAACCGCAGGCACCACTATATAATGTAATACGGCGGCATTAAGCTGTCCACTAAACTGGCCTTTGGAAAAAATTGTGATCGTCAATAAAACCCCAAAACCTTCTATTATCAGATCATACCCAGTTTTGCATTTATGCTCAATAACTCAGTTAAATATTAGGCAGGCACATTATTTATTAATAGCAGGAAAATATCATCAAATAGAAATGACAACAAAAATGGTATCGCTTTTGTCTTTAATAAAAAATATAGCATTTAGATACATAAAATATATACTGTCGGTTTAGGATAATTTTAGGCATTGTTAAATGTCATTTAAGAATCACTGCTAAGTCATTTAAAATCATTTAAAATAAAAATCATACACTGAGGCTGTAAAACTGACACACATTTACTAAATGTGTGTCAGTTTTACAGCCTCAGTGTATGATTTTTCCCATGATCTTATAAAAAAAATAGGAATATAACTTGTAATGACAAGCAATAATTCAACATATTGATTATTTTTAAACCGAAGGATCTTCCCACACTATAGATGGAATTAGTCGCACAATTTAAACTAACAATAAAAGGAGCCCGCAACCCGAAAATCTTGCGCTCAAGCTGTGCCTTTCCGCCTGGCGTGCGCACGCGCAGTTCACTACACGCTCGGCTTTCTCCTTCACCTCGTCCTATTGCGCGACTCGCAGTATCTGCCGAGGCACCAGACTTACAGTCGGACGGTAAGAAAGCCTTGATCTGCGCTTTGATCGGGACATTTTTCAATACATTTGTACAGAATCAGGAAGGCTACCGTTTAAAGAAACGCAGTTCCGGCGGAGGGGTGAATATGCATGGAATTAGCGGTATCCACGGAGGCCCCGATCTCTCCTCTGCTTTGAGAATAGAAAATGAAATGTACAGGCCACAGTGAATCAGTTATAAATATTGTATGTCATATGTTAAAAGTACATTCCTGCTGAACAGTCAGATACTTGTAAACAGTTTTTAAAACTCGACAAGTTCGTACAATCGTAAATTTCTTATTGACAATTTGTGGGATTGGAAAGGGCGTGTATAGAGTGCCAAGTTGGAGGCGCACTGCTGGTTTGACCACGTTAAATCTCATATATGTTAACGCCGTTAATATCACAAGCAAAACCAAGCTGGCCGCGGGACGCGTGGCGACGCCGTACGTGGTTTTTTTTTATGTGAACGTAGCGGTTCCTGGTCTCCTATCTGCCTGATCGTTATCGAAAATTGTCCATGAGATACGGCCACCGATGCGGGACAAGTATAAGGAGAGGGTGGTAATCTGCCGGCAAGACCTTGTCACTTAATGTCCCCTTAACAGTCAGTATTATTAGAACTGTATTAGAACGTGACTGGTCACGTTAATGTATTTGATCAGCGATCGGGTAAAAGGACAGTGAATGTGATTGGAATTTAAATCAATACAATTCGTTACCTATACAGTTATATGCAATCAATACAACTGCAAAATCTCAACTAATAATACGCGAATTTTCATTGAAATGAAAAATGATGGGTATTTCTATACTAAAGTGTTTTATATATTGTTTTATAACTTCTATTATGTTTAATAGGCTAGATAAATATTATTTTGGCTGAACTATGCCAGTCAAAATGAGCAGATTGGTCCCATCAGTAAATAGTTTTTTGCTTGTTTAAAGTGTGTATTTGTGTAAATGTGGTAGTAATGCTGAAATGTCTGTTGGTGTGAGCCGCTGTGTGCATGGCAGCATTGATAGCAGAAGTCGCAGCATCTAAGCCGTAACCTTATTCACATTATCTTACAGCTACAAGCGCATACAGTAACAGTGCCACCAACTTTGGCCAGCTGACTGGCGTGAGATTTTCAGTTCGAGACAAGTTTGCACACTCATTTAAATGTACGTTACAGTTTTATTAGCTTGTAAATAGTCTGTAAGCTTTGCAAACTACCCCAGCGCTTTTGATGCAGCTAATTTTAGTTTTATAATTGAATAATATAAATTTCCCGTAAGGTTCCTTGGGTGAGTGTGAGAGTCTGAAAGCGTGAGTGTCACGCCAGATGCGTGAGAGTTGGCAACCCTGCAGTAAGAACTTGTCACCATTGCCAGTGGTGCTTCAGATGGAGTATATTCAACAATCAGTGTTTTTGCAGTGTCCTATTAATATATTTCAATTGTCATTTTGTCCCCTAAAATACCATGCATACATTAGTGTGGACTGCTTTGTTTATAGGGTCATGAACATTGTAAATTGTTCTTCTTGAATACTGAATGTTTATTTTTTGTGGGGCAATGAGAACATTGAGGTTAACCAATGAGGTCTTTGGGAACAGGCTTATTTCATAAGTGTCTGATCACATGAAGCTCTGTATCGTATTTGCCCCGTCTAATAATAGTTGGGTGCTGGACTGTCAAGCGACTGACGCAGGTGATTTCAAGCCCCGGAGTCAGTGCTGGTTTCTCCCCTGCGTCTGTAATGTACCACCAATGTGGTGGGGGATGTCATTTAACCGCACACTCCTCTGTCCCCGTAGAGGACGGCCTGAGAAACAGTGGCAGACGGCTGTCACGCACAACAACCCCCCGGCTTTACCTCCCAAGTCCCCTTGTCCTCCTGTGCTGGGCTTACATTTTATACTGTAAAGCAAAATGCACTGTCAAAAAATGTTATATTTGCCAGGGGGACATGAATGCAGCCCTGCTAAGTGGTACTTTATGGTTGGGCTTGTTTAGAGTTGTAATTATTTCTTCTGCAAGTGAGAATTCACAATAAAGACTGAACATGTTGGTATTAATGTCCAGAGCAAAGAATGAGGGCCAGCTTGTATGTATATACGTCAGCCTGACCCTTTGACTTTGAGTATGTTATTTTGTAAATACACTGCTAACGTGAAGAGCCAATCATATAGCGACAAGAGCAATAACAATAGAATGTTAGCAATGATTTATGCATCATTTCTAAACTCCCTTTTGATTGGCTACCCACATTTCCATTCCACTTCTGGCAAGCCATGGAAGCTGCCGATTGGTCAGGGGGATGGCTGTGTTCCTCAGATTGTTTGTAAAATGTGAGTGGAAATGTTATGTTTAATGGCTCCCGCCCTGCTGTTTTCTCTCCACAGATACGGGCACCATGGCTGTTCCTCCCTCATACTCGGATCTGGGCAAGTCTGCCAAAGACATCTTCAGCAAGGGCTATGGTAACGAACCTTTACGCTGCCTGCTTGAACACAGAATCAGTTGTTAGCGCCCTGCAAACGTATCTGGGAGCAGCTGCTAAGCCATTTTCCCCATTGCATCAGTGCCATGCTTAAAATGGCTCCCTCTGTATAAGCGTCCTGACCATGTGACCTGGGGGCAAAGGAGAGGCACTGCTGGGTGTTCCATTCGGGTGACAGGGCAGGTTACACTGTTGTGCTTGCAGGCTACTTGTTTCTCATCTGTTAGATTATTTGAAAACAAATGAGTCTAAAAACCATTAATTTTCTGAAGTCATACATTTCAGGTGCACAACTTTTGTACCATTTTATTTTCGCATTTTTTTTGTTCACAAAGGCCCCCGGACTGGTTGAGTTGTGCACTTGTTACCACTTGCAGATTCGTACAGTTTGAATGTTGTATTTTCTGACTTCAACCCTGCCTGCAGAGTCAGTCACAGTCCTGTGCTCTAGGTCACATAACTGAGACGTTAGTTTTGATGTCAGAGCTGGAGCAGAGTGCCCTTAATGGCTTAGCATCCCTGGGGCCCCCTTGTAGTAGAATTACTGTAAGTGACATTGCATGTAAGTCAGGTGCATTGGCATTGATCTGAGACTCCACAGGAGTCAGGCTTAGCAAAATTAGATGATAATTCAGTGTAATACATTACAAAGCAGCAACTGGTAGGTTTTAGGTACTTTATAAAAAGCTGTTGCAAGACGTTAGTTTGTGAGTGTTTTAATAATAATAATAATAATATAATTTAATATTATTATTACTATTATTAAAAAGCTGTTGCAAGACGTTAGTTTGTGAGTGTTTTAATAATAATAATAATAATAATATAATTTAATATTATTATTACTATTATTAAAAAGCTGTTGCAAGACGTTAGTCTGTGAGTGTTTTAAGGGAAATTAGGCTAATGGAAATGCCATGTGCCCTGCAGTCGTGACTAGGATAAGTAGTTAGAAGATGGACAGATGGATGGACAGATGAATGGAAAAGTGAATTCTCTATTAGTGACTTAGAATTTCATTTTGGAAGGTCGTCCGAAAATGGAAATCAGTTTTTGGGACTATTGTCATATTCTTCTTCCTTGAGCACCATTTCCTTCTTGAAAGCAGTACTTTGCTTACCCAAACATTCCCATCCCTCTGTCTTTCTTCTAGGCTTTGGAGTCGTCAAGCTGGATCTGAAGACCAAGTCCCAGAGTGGAGTTGTGAGTCTCCTGCCCGCATTCCGTCCTTGGCATTCCGCCGCAGCGCCCTTGCCGGTTTACCTGGATTGGCAGAGGACTGTGTGCTGAGCTGCCCTCAGCTTATGATGTGGCATGATTTTAGGTTACATGGTGTTTCCTGTGTGCTGGGGGGGCTCAGTGGGTGGTACAGTAGCCTCATACTTCCAGGGTTCAGGGTTCGAATGCAGCCCCTGGCTCTCTGTATCTGTGGTTTATGCTTTCTCCCTGTCCTCCTCTTTCTTTTTTTTTTTGGGTAATGCCATTTTCCTCCTTCAGTGAATCATTGCCTCTGTTAAATGTAAAATGTAAACTTCATATTTAGCAGACGTTTTTGTCCAAGAGACATACAAGTGAGGCAAATAGCCATAGGTTTGTGATGTGGAGTGTCCATGGCATGAGTGCAGCTAGGCTGAGCTTCCAGTGATTGCCCAGCTACAAGTGTAATTAGTATTGGAGTAACAGCTACACCACAACTTCTAATGTGTCCGGGTGGCTGCCCTGTGATAGGCCGGGATCCCATGTCAGGTATAAGCGTGTGTGGGCGATCGTGAACCCCTGAATACCCTGGATCCCTTTCTGTCTTTTGTCATGTTATATCCATCTATGAATACTGAGTGCTTTTTGGGTGCTTTTCTACTGGTACACAAAGGTGTCTGTTTTCCATTGACATAAAAACCGATACCGGTGCTGAATGACATCACAGCGCAAGGCAGAGTATTTTATACTGAATTTGAAACATAGCTGTAGTGTATTATACGGCTGGATGATGTGAGATTAATACCATCTTCGCATGTTATGCACATACAATTCTTACATCGCTAGTCAGCTAGATTAAAGATCAGGCTTTTTCTTACTTTCAGTTCTGTACAGACATTTATAGCACAGGGAGTTTCTTTCACTAAAACAAAATCAGTTTAAAGTTTATCTCCGCTGGTTTTGCATGAGTGCTGCATGCGTTCTCCGAGACAATTATAATCATTTTCATCCTTGCTGTTTAAATCACTCCTAGACGGATTTGTGAGAAGTTAATGTTGAACACCTATTTTTTTCTTTATGAATGCCCCAATATATATATTACAACAAAATAATACCATGCCTGCCTAGTATATTATACAAAATACATACTTTCTTGTCATGCTTTTCTAGTCATGTTGTGTTGTATTTGTTCTTCCGACCAGATCGCAAGTTAAGCTTAGATCTTTCATTTTGTCCATCCATCCATTATTGTTTTCTGAGATCGTAACTTTTTCCAAGGTGGCATTTGTATTGTGTTTCAGCAGCAGGCTATTTGCATAACCAATTGACAACGAAAGCATTTCTAGTCCCACCCCATAGTCCTGAAGTACCCAAAAAGTACCCTAGTTGGTTTGGCATTTTTGGTACTGGAACTTGACTGGAAGTCAATGGAAAACGGAAAGTACCAAATGTGCTGTGGAAAAGTGCCCTTGGTTTCATTCTGTGGCCGCTGCTGGTGGGGATTTCCCCTGTTTTGCATTTCCTGGTTTCTGGCTGACCGTTGATCGTCGTTGGACTTGCCTTCTCCTCCATGCTTTGTATGACGTACAGTCAACCCATAGTGCAGCTTTGCTGCTGAGGTAGTGAGACTCTCACGTGCCCAGTCCTGCCTAACGTGGCTCTTTTTTCGTCTTATACTGTGTGCGTGATGTTCTGACTGAAGTCCCGAGGAAAGAGACGTGTTTATAACTCGTCATGCTCGTCTGTCGGGTATCATTTGACTAATGGTACTGTCTCCTGGGCAGTAAGGGCCTCGCTTTGTGTCTGTCCTGCTCTAACTCTTCCGTTCCTTTCTTTCCACTGCCATCTCTGGATCTCTGGATGTCAGATGGTAAGGATGCGTAAGCGTGGTATGGGCAGCACCTCCCTGCAGCTCTGGCAGTGACAGGCTGGCTCCCACACTCCCATACTCCCATACTCCACGGTCCCACAGCATTTCAGTGAATCTGGGACGTGTGGCGTCCCTCTATGTCCACCTCTACCTTTGCATGCTGCATACCTGGACCATGCTGAAGGTTTATGGGAACAAATCTTTAAATATCTGCCTTCAATAGTAACTAAAAGCCAGTAAGAGCCCAGGCAGAGTGTAAAGCGGCATGTTTTTAACTTGCTCAGGCTGGAAAGCCCCTTATTTATATTAATGCGTCTTCAGCTGCCCTGACTCAGTCTACCAGTGCTTGGCTAATGGGCCTTTTGTTTGTTCTTCTTCCTCCCTTCTTCCTTCGCATCTTCTTCTCCCCATAACCTGACTTTTTTTTTTTTTTCTCCTGTCACCATCCCTCTCTCCTTGCCTCCCTTCCCTTCTGCATTCTCCACATTCCTGGACCCCTCTGCCCATCTCAGGAATTCAACACCTCCGGATCCAGCAACACGGACACGGGCAAAGCCAGCGGCAGCCTGGAGACCAAGTATAAGATGAAGGACCTCGGCCTGAGCTTCAGCCAGAAGTGGAACACGGACAACACCCTGACAACGGAGATCACCTTGGAGGACCAGGTGCGCCTCCCTCACATTTAACAGGGTGTCCGCGTGGTAGTAAATGAAATCAGACAAGGTATTAAAAGGTAGTAAATGGAATTTGACTTGGTAGTAAATTTTTCATCATCCACCTCAATATATTATGAGTTTCCCATTTGTCTATGTGTTTTAACTTCAGCTAAAAAAAAATATATAATATACGTGCTATCAGGACCTGAGTCGGAATTAATATCCTATCAAAGTGATGCTGACCCCATTTCTCCACCTTTTACCTCAGTTGCGCCAGGGTGATCTAACGTGTTGACATCTGGAGAGCCTCTGAAATTAGCTAGTAGCCACTTGGCGGTGAAATGGGGAAATGTAAGTTTTGTAAAAGTTGGCTTGATAACCCGTCATTTAAAGACTTGGCTTAAGCCGGTCATGGGGAATGACCGGAAAGCATTCTGCAGTATATGCAAAAAAAACTCTAAATCTATCCTGGAACGGCGTTTCCGCGATCAAATCTCACCGAGAATCCGCCAGTTATCAGCAGCGGGTTCGCGTGCGCGGGGTGCAGTTCTGTATTTCGTTGTTCGGTGATGTTACACGGACCAGTGGCTTGTACTACGAAGGGGGTTTAACCAAATCAGATTTAACTCGGAGTTAATTTGCGAACGCGGGGTTGACAAAATCAAGTAGCCTCAATCGGTGCTAATCAGTACTACGACGCCAGTTAAGAAGTTGATTTGTTACATCGGGGTTAATTGCATTGGAGTTTGTGTGTGTTCACATAAAAATGGAGCACGTTCAGCACCGGAAGTTTCCATTTGTCTCGTGGCGCGATCTCCAGGTTTCACGGAGGAAGACTGCATGCTAATTATGCAGGATTATGAGGAGTTTATATCAACACTGCAAAGTCCGATACCACTGCAGGCAGGCTTGTTGGCACCGTATTGAATGCATAAAGTACATTTTCATGGTCATAAAACGTGGTATAAAATATCTCACGACCGAGTATTAGACTATGAAGTGTTTTCTGAAAAGAATTGAAATACTGTTAAATACAGAGGCTCACAGATGCGACATAATTCAGAAGTCACCTATTATTTGCTATTAAGTAATGTAATGCTCCCTAAAGCTCCATTACTGCGATGTTACTCTTAATGTAAACCTAATATTAATAACTTAACTGATCCGATTTCAAATGCAATTGTAGTGGAAAGCGTACGTGGCAGCAAGTCAAGATGAAATATAAAAACATCATGTTAAGTGGTAGGGCTATGTATTTATATTTCTACTAATTATGAAATATTTGTTGTGTCTAGCCTCCACTTAATATCGTGTTTCTACTGTATGTTTCACAGCTAATAAAAAGGTGTCTGTTAAAATTACACTTAATAGAAGGTGAGCCACTGTTTAACAAACAAATGACTGACAAGAAAACAGTAGCATATTTGTAGTGAGAAAATGACTAGGAACCTGTCACCGCGGTTAAATTAGCCTCATATTCCATATTCAGTTTTCTGGCTTTAATAACTTTTAACGGAAGTAAGGTGGGTGCGTTTGTAATGACAGAATTATGATGTCCAGTACACAGACATCGATGCACACCAATTATTTTTGCGCTTCAAACCATTTCGTGATTTGTGCAAAATCGTATTAATAGCTAATATTATAGGTGCTGTCAGCTGTAATGGCATGGTGGTTTAGCATTTTGGGCTCATGGCGACTGTTGCACACCCCTGTTTCCCAGATTGCTTTACGTACAAATTTTAATTTTTGAATGTTCGAATGTATCCGTATAATGTGCAATGGGACAATACATGAATGGGTTAATAACTTTAAAACTAGACAAGACACATCCAGTGGAGTGTGCTTTGATCAGTGGATAACAGGGAACAGTGCACACCCCTTGGGTTTTCAGAATAACTTTCTCTCTAACAGTTATTAATTAATACATTGTATGCATATTATATGCCATTGCTCCATTTCATACATATTGACAGAGAGTGCCCCTCACGATTTGCACTAATGTCATATGGATCATCCAGGTACGCCGGCATTGTCTTTGGGGAAATTGTAGTTGGAGGGGTGGTGTTCATATAGAGCTGGCTTATGCAGAAACCTCAACTTAACCAAGAACAAAAACTGCTCGGAGTAGTTATTGTTACAAGTTACCTCGTGATGAAAAAATTCACTACTTTACTCTGTGTGTATGAGAATGTGTGTCTGTCTTAGTGTGTGTGTGTCACATGACACACATAAAATTGTATTAACGTTTATGGCTGTTGTCAAGTGTCATTTGTTTTAAGAAGTGTGAAGTTGACTTTATTAGGTGGGGTTAAGGGTTGTGGTTAGGATAACCCAAGGGCTAGAGTTAAGGTAAGGACAAACGAAACTCAACTTGACACTACAAAAAAAAAAATGATACGCGTATTCAATGACAATACTTAATAACAGTTAAACATTACTTTACATAATATCTATGATGGGTATGAAGATTTACCCGAAAAAAAAGGCCACTGCCCGATTGTTGGTAATAAAAAAGGTAGTAAATTCAACTCTAGGATTCCTGCATAAGCAGGGGCCTTGGTGACCTTCCACAAGATGGCCAACGAGAACCCAGTGTGTGCCGAAGGAGGCCCCCACACTACACTATGGTTTGCTTTGTGTTATGCTCGTCAGAGTTTTATTTATCCAAAAATGTTCTAAGGGCAGAATGAATAATGATTGGTTCAGTGAGATAACCAGTCAGATTGTAGAAGAGGAGGACCAAGCAATTGGAGGAGGCAGGACCAACCAATCAGATGTCTTCGTCTTGCCTCCTCTACAATCTGATTGGTTATCTCTCTGAACCAGTTATTATTCATTCTGCCCTCAGAACATTTTTATGTAAGTAAAATTCTTATGAGCTTATGGTATCATCATCATTAGTGTTTACGTTTCACTGTTTAGTCAGTTTACCCAAAGGAACATACAGCTTCTTATGAGCTTAACTAACATTTACATGTATTATTTTAATAGATGCTTTTATCTAAACTGACATACGGGGCAGGATCACAGTATCGCAGTTGAGGTTGAGTCTTGCTCAGGGGCCCAGCAGTGACATGGCTACGTCCTTGGTCACGGGATTCCAACCCACGACCTTCAAGACATGGGCACAGATCCACAACCTGTTGAGCTAAACTCAACGCCCCATAAATTCAAGAGCAGATTCATTTAAGTGTCTTTATCAAGAATTCAGCAAAGACTCTTCCGCGTTCTGTGTCTGTTGCATTTCCTTTCCTGCTACATTGTTTGGGTGATGACCAGGGTTAATGTGAACTCTGAGTGATGCTTCCTTAGAAAGACATTGCAACACAATGCAAAAATCACTTCTCCAAAATATATCTAGTAAATATGGAGAATCTTTTTTTTTTTCTTTCCAAAATTAGTTAAGCCTTTTGATCTGTTTTATCGCAGTTTGCAAATCGATACATAGTGAGGGTTTTAATAGTCTTGTACATATGTATTTGATTTCAGTATTAATCACTGTTTTAATATATAGGTACATTTTTTTAATTCAAAACTAAGTCGTCATTTTCACCCTTGTTTTTGCAGCTGGCTCAGGGACTGAAATTGACGTTCGACACTTCATTTGTGCCAAACACTGGGTAACTGCTGCACGTTTTAAAACATAACTGACACTAAAACGTTCTTGCTTTTAATAATAAGCCTGTGCTATTTTGTTTTAAAATTGTGTACTATGTGAATTGTCAGTGAACAGTGAACTGCGTTCTGCTCAGTGTAATGGTATTTATCCCACGTTAAACAGAATCCATTACCTCATGTTTGGTAGACTTTACATTACAGTTAAAGTTCTTGTAATGTCTTGGACTTCAGTAAGAAGAGCGGAAAGCTGAAGACCGGATACAAGCATGACTACGTGAACCTGGGCTGTGACATCGACTTTGACTTTGCGGGGCCCACGGTGCACGCCGCCACCGTCCTGGGCTACGAGGGCTGGCTGGCCGGGTACCAGATGGCCTTTGACACGGCCAAGTCCAAGCTGGTCCAGAACAACTTTGCGTTGGGCTACAAGGCTGGTGACTTCCAGCTGCACACCAATGTGTGAGTACAGGCTACTTCACCCCCTGCTGGCCCACTAATGAACTACAGCAATACAAGTTCTTTCCCACAATGTTTTGCTGTTTTGATGTTGCTGCACATCTGCCTTCTCACAGGAACGACGGGACGGAATTCGGAGGATCCGTATATCAGAAGGTGAACGACAAGCTGGAAACCGCTGTCACCCTGGCCTGGACAGCTGGAAGCAACAACACACGCTTCGGCATTGCTGCCAAGTACCAGCTGGACAAAAAATCCTCCATTTCTGTAAGAGTCCCCTCCTTTACCACTGCAAGACTTTCTGTTTTGCTCGGGACACTGAGCTCTCATCAGATCGGGTGTTTTGGTCTGTCAAAGTATCTTGAAGCCTTAACATCGTCTCTGATGAAAGACATGTAATGTATGTCTCTTTGACTTCTCTGTGTTAAATCTGCCTTCTTCCAGCAAACTCCTCATTTGAGAAGGATATTGAGATCTAATGTCTGTTTATCTGTTGCCCACTGAAGGCCAAAGTTAACAACGCGAGTCTGATAGGAGTGGGCTATACGCAGAGCCTGCGGCCAGGTAAGCAGCCTATAATGTATGTAGCTATAACGCAGTTTTCCTGAATATGTGTGTTCATATTTCCTTAAGGATTTGCATTTTTCCAAATATCCAGACTATTATATTCAGATGTATGGTGTGATTTACAGTAAGAACCTGGTCAAGTAAGTAAAATCTAGGGCTGCCAAAAATTATTTTCATAATCAGTTGGTGACCCAAAACAAAGGGTTTAAAGAAAGGTGCAAATGCTTTATTTAAAAAAAACACAGATATTTAAGTCACAGTTGTAATAAAATCTTGTGAAACAGTGTAAAGATTAAAGTGACACAATCACATTGAAACAAAGGCCCGCTATCCTCAGCCATATTTAGCTTGTACTTTATACTGCAGTATGTGGTATTTTGATGATATTTCCTTCCTATTTTGAAATTTTGGCCTTAATATTGTTGAGTGGGATTGGGGGGGAGTCTAGTTAGAAATAAAATTTAACTAGGTTAAACTGACTTACTTTTCAAATGGACTGGTTCTGTTGTCCTCTGGAATGATCAATGGCTGATTTTAACTGTAAGCTTTTACCTGTAGCTAAGAAGAATGGCCCTAGTTCTTAGTACATAATGTCATGTTCAATGACACAACGGAGCTGAAAAACAAAGTGGCAGAAAGCTTTTCACACACCTCTGTCGCTCCTCTGTAGGCGTGAAACTGACACTGTCCGCGCTGGTCGACGGCAAGAACTTCAGCAGCGGGGGCCACAAGGTGGGGATGGGCTTCGAGCTGGAGGCGTAGAGGGGAGGAGCACGGAGATGCCCCCCCCATCCTCAGCACTCCTCACACTCACCCACACGTTCAGCCTTAATCCCTCCCAGAAGAATCCAGTACTCTTTACACTGTCTCTACCGCAGCTGAAGCCCTTGTTTAGACTGTAATTAATTTAAGTGTGATCACAGTTATGACTTTAGGTCTGCGGGCATACGGTCGGTATCGGAGTTCCCCTGCAGGCTGGCGTGCTCCTGGGATCCAGCCATGGTGATTGTTTCCGATTCTTTCATGACTCGGCTTCCTTGATGATTTTCTGGGAACATACTCCATTTTTTTGTGGCCATAGGTTTTGCATATCATTACTTTCCCGGAATCTTGTATCAAGTTCACTTTAAATCAAGTTTTTTTTTTTTGTGGAACCACTTTTCATGGTACACCTACAAAGCAAACAGTGATTTTATGAAGGCTGTTGTTCTTAAATAAATGTACTTTATTTCTTTTTGTTTGGGTTCCTTGTAAGTTTCTGTATTTGACCAGACAGGAATCTACCACTAAAGGCTTCCAATGCCGTAGGAGCAGTGACGAAGCTCAGGTGAATACTGCCAAAAAGGTTTCATGTTCTTATGAGGTTTTCTTTTCACACAATAAACATGTAATGCACACCGACTGAAAGTGATCAGCACGTTTTAGAGTGCAATTACCCGGTGTGTCTGCAGTTAATTTTCAGGGCTCAGTGAGTCATTTGAGCCTGTCGCCCGACACCCCTTCGTATGGTCTGTCTGACGTGGTAGTTTTCGGTCCGAGCTGGATAAAGATGTACTATCTGTGACATAAAACCCAGCCCAGGAAAGCTGCTTGCTTGTCAAAGGATTGTCTATTTCACATGTTAGCAGCATCAAATTATTTTGTAAGGAAATCCTGCAGATATTACAGGCCTCCAGAACAAAGCTAAGAGGCTTTGGAACTTCCATTGCTATGGTTGCAAGTAATCATGTTATGGTCTATGGGAATGCTGGGTTTGCATGTTTTTTTAATGATTAGTATTTTGATTTGAACTCCACCGCCCTCAGTGACTGTGTTGTGTTGGGAGACAAGGTGACTGTAAGGAAACCTGAATTAAGAAATAAAAATGTTTAAAACCCGAATTATTTTCCTCTGTTATACATGCCTAGCGACATCTCATTAGCAACCATAAAGACAACACACTTGTTTTATTCTTTTAAAAAAAGGGACAAATACCCTGAATGAAATTGAAAAATATTTTTAAGTATCTGCAGATATGATAGATTCAAGACTTTTTAAACCTTAATAGCCAGGTTCACAATAACAAAGCTGCAGTGAAACAGCATGCAGTGACAGCAGTTAATTTAGGTCGCTGGTCGCTTTGTGTTTCCTAAATACAGGGCAACATTCCACAGCTCTGCTTCCCATTGTGCCGAATTTGAAAAACTTCTTGCACAATGAGCCTCATATGGTTACACCCATGTTGCAAGTTTGGGGTCATCCAACCAGTTTTCAGTGAATTTGCTGCCTACGGCCCAATTGGCACAAGGGGGCCCAGAAAAAGTCATATAATAAATGGCCAATAAAAAACCAAAACCATATACATTAAAACTTTTACGTGTAGGCAGAAAGTGAAATGATCATCACTTTTACCTTGGGCCCCTGAAATGGTAGATCTGGCCCTGGATAAAGTTACTTGCAGGCCAGCTTAGAGCAATGTGCTAAGTTACCTGAAGCTAGTGTCTGTCCCTCCTCCCACAAACAAATGATTGCTGTTGATTCCGTTCATTCCAGTCTATGTGACCTCGAAATACAAAACAGTAGCAACATTAAATCTTCCCAGTCATAAACACATAAATCAGTGTTGTTATCCACATCTGTGCCATTTTTAGGACCTTTAAAAGACATTTTAATACCAATTAATGTTTTTTTCAGATAAACAATACATAGGTATTCATTGTATCTGACACTGAAAACACACACACAGTCATATACTGTCAAAAGATACAAAAAGACAAAACACAATCATAAGGCAGAAGTATTTTAGCAAATACACAGATATATTTGTAATATAAACTTTTTGGTATGCAAACCAGAGAGTAAGTTTTGCTGAAACATTTTTACTTCATCACAGAAAAAAACCTTAGCCAGCTTTGTGATTTTAATTATTATTCCTTTTATAGATTATCTAGTATGTATAAAAATCTGTTTAGTTTTACCTCCGTGACGATCATAATCACCTACATGGGTTTGTGAGAAACGTATGAACTTTTGAATACCCCAATATTTATTACAACAAAATCACATCACTATATTTACAACAAAATCACATTGCTAGGATCCTAGTATATTAAACAAAATACTATTTTAATTTCTTGTCACACCATCCTTATCTTTGTTTTGTATCTGTTCTTCCGACCAGATGACAATATATTTTTTACTTTGTTTATCATTGTTTTCTGAGATCATAACTGTTTTCAAGGTGGCGTTTGTATTGTGTTTCAGAAGCAGGCTATTTGCACAACCAATCGACAAGTGTTTCAAATCCCATCACAAAGTACCAAAGAAGTACCCTAGCTGGATTCACACTTTTGGTACTGGAACTTTTGATACTGGTACTCAACTGGAATCAATGGAAAAGGGAAAGTACCAAAAGTACCATAGTTGGTGCAGTGGAAAAGCGCCCTAACTGTTTTAAGTCACGGAACACAAAATGCAAAATTATTAATAGACACATTAAAACCTTCAGTGATATTTTATAGATTACTTCTTCAAAGATCACAATAAAAACCACTAGATCTCCTTATAGAGTACAAGGACTACAAACCACCACTTTCAGACAGATATTCCCAGATATATAAAACCAAGACCAAAATAATTAAAAAATTAAAAATTCAAGTGTTTTCTACAAATTAAGCTGGAATTATAAGTCTGTTAGTGAAGTGCACAGAAATGAAGCCTCAGACTGCTTTCAGCCTTGGTCCTACTGCCACTCTGTTCCGGAAGCGGGCTTCGAGCGCAGGCTGTAACGCTGTTCCGGAAGCGGGCTTCGTGAGCAGGCTGTAACTCTGTTCCGGAAGCCGGCTTCTTCGAGCGCAGGCTGTAACCCTGTTCCGGAAGCGGGCTTCTTCGAGCGCAGGCTGTAACTCTGTTCTGGAAGCGGGCTTCGAGCGCAGGCTGTAACGCTGTTCCGGAAGCGGGCTTCTTCGAGCGCAGGCTGTAACGCTGTTCCGGAAGCGGGCTTTGAGCGCAGGCTGTAACTCTGCCTCGTTTACTTTAAAAGCAGATATTTTTCTTCTTTGCAGCAGTACCTTAAAATCAGGTTTCCTTTCCACAGGACATAAACGTTTACAAAGCACTATACTTGTATCCGGGAATGGTTTGCAAAGTTTGCAAAATACCATAAAAATGTGCCCTTTAAACATTGCTCCTCAATTTTATCAAACTGTAGCCATGATCTTAGGTTAAAACCTGATACTTCAATACACACAAAAATTTCAGGAAGAAAAGGAGTCTGAAATTGTAGCTATGTTGTGAAACAGCAAAAAAAGAAAAGAAAAGTGGATTAAAAAAACAGAACTATAGACCATCCTTGCAGCTCCACATGAACCTGTAATAATATGTTCCCTCCATACAGAGGCGGCACCGAGCTACAAAAGCATCTGAGAGGTACTTGAAGCGAAAGTGATCCCAGCTGGTGTATACAGACAGTTTCTCCTTCACTGTGATGAATTTCTGAGTATCAGGAGAGGTCTCCATTAAGCCAGTGCCAGTCCCTGAGAAGCTGACAAAAACGGGGGTGGGGGAGAGATACATATGTCTAAATCTGCAGGGGGAGACACACGTCACAGAGGCTGCGGGACTTCAAAACACGCATCAAATATGAGGCACAACTCCAACAGTTAGCATGTACAATTTGTACATTCACAAAACTGATGTATCATTATATAACATCTCTATTTTTATCAGGTTCCAAAGCTGTTCTACACCTGTAAAACACCACACAACCAAATTTCAACACATGAGAAGATATTTTAAATATAAAACCATATTTTTAAATGTATAAATTTATGAGAGTATAAGAGTTCCATCATCACTACATACATCAGGGGTCACTAACATGGTGCCCGCGGACCTGTTCTAAAAATAGCACAACTCACCAGTGAGCAGCGTCCATAATTTAATTTTATCCTGTTGCTATTCTTCTTTAATCACATTTGCATTTATATAGATTTGATAAAGACAATTAATCATTAATAATAATATGATCTAAGGTAAACTGAGAAAATATGTTATTTAAGAAGAGTGTGTCAAACTGGTTGCCCTTCGTATGGCTCAGTACCCATGAAGTAGCTCTCAGTTTCAAAAAGGTTGGTGATTTTAGTCACTGATGTTATTGGGACATACATTACATTTTAAGTTCTTGCTCTATTAGACTGCTTCCTTGGGTGAATCCATACTTTCTCAGTGTTATTTAATAAATTTACTGAAATTTCATTTCTCAGACAGCTTCTACACGTCACTGGTACTATGTGTTACAAGGGCAAAGTAACTGATGATTTGTCAAAAGAATCCTATATGTTTTTTAAACACTATATGGACAAAAGAATTGGAACGCACCTCTTAATCACCAAATTCAGGTGTTTCATTCAGACCCATTGCCACAGGTGTATGAAATTAAACACCTAGCCATGCAGGCAGGATTACAAACTCTTGTGAAAGAATGGGTCATTCTGAAGAGTTCAGTGACTTCAAGTACAGTATGGTACTGTCATAGGATGCCACCTTTGCAATAAGTCATGAAAAATATTCCCTACTAAATATTTTAGGAATAACAAAAACTCAGCCATGAAGTGCCAGACCACATAAAACAACAGTGGTATTACTGAATGTTGAGGTGCATTTTTGCCAACGCTCGGTTGAGTCAATAACTGAAAGTTCCAAACTTCCTCTGAAATTAACCCCAGCACAAAAACTGTGCAGTGGGAGCTTCATGGAATAGGCTTCTGTGTCCGAGCAGCTGCATGCACGTCTCACATCACCAAGCGCAATGGCAAGCGTCAGATGGAGTGGTGTAAAGTAAACCGCCACTGAACTATGGAACAGTGGAAATGTGCTCTGTGGAGTAACGAATCATGCTTCTCTGTCTGTGAGTCTGATGCATGAGTTTGGGTTTGGCAGATGCCAGGAGAACATTACCTTCCTGACTGCATTGTCCCAGCTGTAAAGTTTGGTGGAGGAGGGATAATGGTATGGGGTTGTTTTTCAGGGTTTTGGCTAGGCCCCTTAGTTCCAGTGAAGAGAACTCTTAATGTTTCAGGAAAACAAGACATTTTGGATGGGAACAGTTCGGGGAAGGCCCTTGGTTGGTGAGTTCGGTGTGGAAAAAGTTGACTGGCCCAGCACAAAGCCCTGACTTCAACCCCATCGAATGCATTTAGAATGAACCAGAACAGAGATTGCGAGCCAGGCCTTCACGTCCAACATCAGTGTTTGACCTCACAAATGCTCTTCTGGATGAATGGGCAAAAATTCCCACAGTCACAAAATATTGTGGAAAGCCCTCCCAGAAGGGTTGCAGCTGGATTTAAAATGGGAGGTCATGAAAGTTCCTGTTGGTGTAACGGCCAGGTACCCCAAAACTTTTGTTCATATAGTATATCACTAAATTTAAATAGTTGCACAAGGTCACCTTAACCCTCATGAGGCAACTATTTCAAAAAATATTCCATTTTTATCATAGTGTCACCATACCTATGTTGTTAATTTAATTCATTATCAGAACAATTAAAAAGCTAATTGATATGAAAATGTTAATATCGCCATTTTGTAAAATAAAACTGCATGTTCTGTAACTGGTGTTACAGTTCAGTTATGACAGCCGTTGGTTATTTTTAATAAAATATTCTATGTGTCCGAAATCGCACACTTGCGCACTTTTAGTGCGCAATTTTAGGGCATAGTGCGTTCACACTGACAACTAAGCTAAAATTCAGTGCACTGAAAGTACCCGGATGGTGCACTGAAAACGGCCAGAAAACGTAGTGCAGAATGATGGACACTACTCGCACTAAATGGACGCCATTTTGACTACGTAGCGGAAGGGGAGGGACTTTCGGCAAGTTTTCAGAGCGGAATAATGGTGGACAACAACACAGACACGCAAGCCCAAGTGGAGGCAATTGCTTCATATAAATGTAAGTAACGTTAATAAAATAATTTTACTGATGTATACTGCGGTGTGTAGCCTGTCCCTCTCTGACGACAGTTAAAGATAATTTGTTTGAGTTTGCGATTATTGCCTTGTCCACACGTACACAGGTATTTTTTAAAATGTACCTTTTTCTTGGGCTTTTGTCCACATGTAAACAGCGTCTTAGGTCACTGAAAACGGAGCTTTTGCAAAACTCCACCCAGGGTGAAGATTTTAAGAAACTCCGTTGTCAGCGTCGACATGTAGACAGTGAAAACAGAGTTTTTGGCTCGAAACGTCAGATTGTGCGCCGTTGTCCACTTTGTTTAACGTCAGAGCGCGCGCTGTTTGTTGTATATATTAGGGGAGTTTGAGCAATGGCAGACTTAGCCAAAATAGTGCTTGTGCTAACCTTGCTGACAGGACTTCTTACATGTATATAGATAAATGTTGAATCACTCTCGCATTATATTGATCAACATCGTCGGAATGTGCGCCATGGTTTTCAACTTAACAGGACTGGCAATTAGGCTTCTGATTGGCTAACATGGCAGTACAGTTAGTGTTATAATGCCGCCTGTTGGTTTGGCATGCTCTTGACAGCGCATTTTAGCGGTTTCATGTGGACGGAAATTTTTTAGAAGACCATGTTCGTGTGGACGAGGAAAAACACCGTTTTAAAATATACCCGTGTACGTGTGGACAAGGCATATATCGACTTAGAAGAGTTCGCACACGTAAATGTTAGCAGTTTTTTTAGCCGGTTACAAGGAAATTCATTGTAAACAAAACACGGCAGATATTTTGGCGTGCTGGAGAATCGCAATCAAATGCTAGTCCGTCACTTCCGATAAGTACAAAACGTTAGTGTTCCATTTAGGACAGAACTTACCCATGGTAGTGTGAACTACAGAAGGAAGTGCGCAGTGCGCACTACGAACTACATCTCAGTGCACTGACGCAAGTGCGCAATTTCGGACACACCGATTGTCTTTTAGAGTACTTATGTGAATTATCAAACACACACTGAACTAGAAACTGAAAACAATGTTTAACAAAATAAAATACAAAAATAAAAACAATAAAAAATAACACCACCAGTGACTAACTTTGCATTTTACATTAAAATACAAGTTTCCCCCGCTATCCAAAATTAGTGTTCCTATGAAACCTTTCGTAAGCCAAAATGGTGAAAAGTGAAGATGCAATTAGCATTAATTTATATGGGAAAAATTTTTCAGCGTTCCTAGACCGAACTAAAGAACTTGCCAAATTATACTAAATAACACACAAAATTTAAAATCAGTGAAGTTTCACTTACCAGAATAAATAGTTATGCGTTACCTAACTAAAGAGATACATTATGAGGAATGCATCCTTAGATGATTTTGCTGTTGTGAGATTATCATAGAGCGTACTTACACAAACCTAGGAAGCTTTCTACACACAGGCTATACGGCGTAGCCTAACCCTAACCCTTTATTATAAAACAAAAAAAGATTTTCCCAAACTGTAGGATGTAAGTGTTCTAAGGATATTTCAGGTAGGCTAGCCTATGATGTTTATTCGGTTATTCCCTCTGAATTAAAATGCATTTTCGCCTTAAGATATTTTCGCCTTTTGATTTATCGGAACGTAACCCAATCGTAACCTGGGGCTGTATAATAAATACATAAGCCAGTAGCATAGTTGCTTATTATCTTTGTCACATAATATGCACCTACATAACTGTATGTGCTATACTTTTGTATGAGTGGCAGCACAGTAGGTTTGTTTACCCTGGCATCACCATTTTTCAGCTCCGTTATAATTTTATGGGACCAACATCATATGTGCAGTTCATTGATGACGGAAATATACATGCCTGTATATTTATAATTGCCTTGCTGATAAACGCTAAACACTATTTTCGCTTTTCTCCTTTTTTTGCAAAAGTTTAAACAGATACTAATGTAGGTCTTTTGTAAAACCGAAGTGGCATAAAAATTCACAAAGTAGGGGATGCCTGTATATGAAATTATTGGAATTAAACCCTTAATTTTGCATGCATGATAACTACATGTTAAATAGTCACGGTAGACTTTTTCGGATTAATAAAAGTGATGCAACCATCTCAGTTCTTAATCCAAATGGTTAATGACCTATAAAGTCAATCCTGCTGTGAACTGTCAAAGAAACAGATAAGATAGAGAGGCAGTTAAGGATGATGACAGTGCAGTGAAATGAGCTGCTTACTGGATGGTATTCTCCCTTGGCAACAATCAGTCATGATGTTTACTGCACATTTCAGTGGACTGGCCCAAGTACGACCTCATCATTTTGTCATAAATTACTGCCAAATAGATGAGTACTCAAGTAAAAAGAAAAAGGTAAAGAGCCCACAGCATAGCATGAAAGGCATGGCCTCTCTGAAAGGCAGCCTACCTCCATGTCGCTCTCCGACTCGTGGATAGTGTCCTGCACTAAGCTCTGCAGTCGACTCTCAAACATCCTGCTCTCCTCAATCACTTGATAGGCTTCATCTCTGCAACAGAAACAGGGCAGAGTCACCTCAGACAATCATGATACATTAGGATTAGCTAACATTCTAGATGAGCATTTCTTGTGCTGCATAACCGAACGTTTCGGAGTATCATTATGATTCATATAAATGGCTGATAAAGGGAGAGGTTCGGCAGCATGACATAGCATTGCGATCTGAAGTCACAGGAACATTAATACAATGGGATGACATCAGAGGGCTGTGGGTGTGGCCTTACCGTGACTGGCTGGGCTCTAGGCTGGCGGAGGGAGGCTGGAGTGACTGGACGGAGGGGGAGCCACGCCCCCCGTCAGGGCTGCCACTCACAGGGCTGCGTACCTTACTCTGCGTCACACAACAGCAAGGAGGAAAAGAAGTTCACAGACAGCACAATGGATGAGAGCAGTTCAGGCACTACTGCAGCATCACTACGAAAGGTGCTTAACTCACTGACAGCTGTGTTTAAAAGGAAAGTTGCTTTGGATCAAGGAAAATCAGCAACTAAACATATGTCAACAATATGCAAGACAGATGTTTATAGGCGAATGCGGCAGCTCTTTTCCAAAAACACGACTGGATGTTTGAGTCACTCTTTCCCCGCTTGGTGCCAGTCTGGCCTGCCGGCGGCCGACTCACACAGGCCACTTTGAGCAGATTCCAGAGCTCTCTCTGCCGCTTCTCCTGCAGGGCCATGAGCGCCTGCTCCCTGTCAGCCATCTGGCTCACCAGGCCCTCCACACGTGGCAGCAGGTCCATGACGCGCTGCCGACACACCACCGTCTTACTAAGGAGGGAGGGAGGACCGGCGTCAGCCACCGTCATGGGATAGCGGCCTTGGGGAGCTCAGGCGGCTTGCTGACCTCAGGTGTGTGTAGAAGTCCCTCAGCTTCTTCTCGTAGAACTGCACCGCCTGAACCACCAGCCGCACAACCTCCTGACAGTCACCTGAACAGCGCTGCTCTGGGGGAGGGGGGGCAGGGGGTGTCAGCACGCATCACACTGGAGTGCTTCAATAAGAGAAGCAGCACCGTGGAGTGCAGACGTACCTCTGGGCTTCTCTCTGAGGCTGCGGAACAGTTCCATGGCCTTCCCTTCACTGCAGAGAGATGCAGAGAGCCCCTTACTGGCCAGCTTGAAGTTTCACCACCTCCCACACACATCATTTTCCCTCTGATTCTTTATGCAGATATGTCCTACGTCTTATGATTTGAGCCATTCCCCCCCGATGCCCTGTACCCATCCTCCCACAATCCCTCCCTCCCTCTCGCTCTGGGCTACACCAAGCAGCTCTAGTTTTTACTCCTTAGCCCCTTTGGATTGTCAGTTCTCAATGCAAAGCCATTCTAGTTGTATTTCTGTTTCTAGTGGGTGCCACTCACAGCGTGTCCAAGGCCTCCCCCGACCGCCACGGCTGCCTCTGGATGTCCACGATGTGTGTCTGCAGTGACATCATCTCTTCATCCAGGCTGCTCACTTCCTCTGTCTGAGAGACATGCGTTTGGACACATGGACAGTCACTGACAGAGACTCTATCACTTCCAGCTACTTGTCTCACAACCATCTGACTGATCAGCCCTGCAGATACACGATGACCCACGAGATTCTAACAGACCTGAGCACAGGTGACAGCGGTGTCCTCCATCTCCCTCCAGACACTCAGCATTTTCTCAGAGGCTGTAAAGAGGGGGGATTACTTTCACCATGTTTACATCTGCAAACCTGATGCAGTATAAACAGACAGAGAAAGCATTAAGGTGGGGGGGTGGGGAAGGCTGTGACCCCACACATACCGATGCCTGTGGTCCTCTGCTCCTGGTACTTGTCCATGTCAATATGGAGGCTGGACATGAAGAAGTCCAGCTTGGCCCGCAGGCGCTGGTGCATGGACACCATCTCATTCTTCTGCTTGGACAGGGAGCTGTTGTGACGCAGCAGACTCATGCTGTGGGGGTGGGACGACGACATGACGTCATAACCTGAAAGCTGACTGGCGAAGCCCTAGAGAGGCCCAGCTCTTGTACTTCGCAATTCAGCCTCAACTCTCTTTGGACAAGAGCATGTGCTAGATTACTAAATGACAATGTAAATGACACACTAAACTGCTCCATGTCCAGAGGCATAATCAGAGATGCAAGTGGCTAAGCATCTACAGCGCAATGTGACACTGATAAGGTGACAGGATGACGCTCGGAGGGGTGTGCACCCACATGGCGGCCTTCTGGCCCTGCTGGAGCCGCTGCCAGTCCTCCTTCAGGGTACGGATGGTGTGCCAGGCCTGGCCGTAGGTGCGGCGCAGGGGGCCGTAGGGAAGCTGCCGCTTGGGCTCCATCTCTGGGGGGGGGGGTGCACACATGCACAGAGGGATCAGTGCACTTAAAGGAAAGGCATCTACACAACACAAGCAGGGCTTGGCAAGGATTCAGAGGACCAACGTTTAGGCAGCACACTAGTAGAAAGCTCCTCCCAATTTAAGAATGACGTCACCATACATACTAACGCAGAGATGCAGCATAGAAACAGATGTAGGGAGTCAGTGTCAGGACAGGGTCCCAGACAGGGCAGTCAAGCGGGGCAACGGTGGAGGTGGGGTGGGCGGGCAGGCAGTGGAGGAGATCAGGGCGGGGCAGCGGAGGAGATCGAGGCGGGGCAGTGGAGGAGATCAGGGCGGGGCAGCGGAGGAGATCGAGGCGGGGCAGCGGAGGAGATCGAGGCGGGGCAGCGGAGGAGATCAGGGCGGGGCAGCGGAGGAGATCGAGGCGGGGCAGTAGAGGAGATCGAGGCGGGGCAGTGGAGGAGATCAGGGAGGAACAGTTACGGTCAGCACACATCTCCGACGTCCTCTGGTGGCTTGGAGCCTGCACTCACGCACAAAGCGGATGTTCTCGGGCAGCAAGCGTGGGTTGAACTGTGGCTCGTAGCTGCTGCAGCTGCGGTCGAACAGGAATACAAGGGGCAAGTCCGTCCTGCGCCCGTCGATCAGCTGATGCACCGAGAGGGCAAAGTCAGCCATGTTAGTGTCAGTGACACATCCAGCACTTTCCATCTGCCTAGATTCTAATAACATCCGGGATGTTTAAACGAAGTCCAGCCGGTCGCTGGTGCCCAGGAAGGGCTAGCTGTCACACGTGACCGTAATGTGACGGGGACACGCACGCTGTAATCCACGGCGCACTCCAGCACGGAGCGCTGCGGCTCCAGCGCCAGCCCCGCCTCCAGCAGCAGCTCCTGATTGGCCATGGGGATGTGGGTGTCGCAGGCAATTCGCTCCTGCAGCACAGCAACCGTCTCACCTTCCTGCACAGGGTACGTGTGGATCTTCGCTGACACCATGTTCAGCACGTGGACCAGCTTTGGAGGACAAGGACCACAGAGAAAGAGCGAGATGGAGAGTAGGACAGCCATCACTGCTAATGTGAGATGTTGGCATTTAGCAGAGTGCAGATATCACTCCTATAATGCAGTTTATACTACAATGTCCAATTTCACTGTCACCTCTGACTGATACACAAACTTCAGCATCACAGACTGATAGTAAATATTCAATTCCGATCCCAGCTCTGTGCATGTTCTTCCAATGATGTTTATAGGTGAAATGCTGTCCCTAACTTAGTGTGTATATGTGTGTGTTTGCCCTGCAATAGCCTAGCATCCCATCCAGGGGGTCCCCGGTCTTATGCCCTGTGTTTCCTAGGACAACCACCAGCCTTAACAAAACCCTCTACTGGATAAGATCTTATGGAGAAAGAACAGAAGGAATTTTAATACTGATTACAGAAACACTGCCTTTCTGTAAACTCACCAATCTGGTTGCTTACTGTGGCATTCATATAAACTGCACTGCAAATGGAAAGTAGGTCTGACCATATTTGTACCAGTGACACCCTCTAATATTTAGCATGTGTAAAATGAAAAGTGCAGAGGGAAGCAGGGCGGACGTGTGTCTCCACGGTCACGGTGCCTCCATTCAGAAGCTGCAGGTAAGCGGGGTATGGTGGAGCAGATGTCAGAGAGGAGACCAGGCCTAAGTTCTACTTCAAAGGACACACTAGTCCATCTTTCAGGCTACCATGTACACTCAGCTAAGCTATAGTGCTGCTGAAAGTGTTTCAGCCTTTGCATGCCTCAGGCAACCTCAAAAAAGTTATGCAGGTGCAAAGACGGACTGGCAGCCTGTGTTCCACACCACGGCTCATGCTGCCTGCACGGGGATTAGCTCTAGTTTCAGCACTGCTCCGTACTGGATAAGACCCTATGGAAGATTGATGGATGTATATACTGGTGGGTGATATGAAGATAAATGATCGTGACCAGTTGCAACCGTATCCTCGATTCAGTGTTTCACAAGAATTGTGAGACAGCACAACTTAACACTATTAGTACAACAACAGAACAAACCTCCAAGCACTGATCTTGCAATTCCTGAATGTTCAGAGACTGCAACAGTACTACAACAAAAGCAAACCGAAGTGAAACAAACCAATTTCAGCCTGCATAACGTCTCAGCACTGTCTGTATATCTAACTTCAATTACCTGCCTCAGTGGATCACAACTTAGTAACTAAATCTAGAACTAAGAAATCTTTTATCACAGTTGAAGATGCGCCTTCGTTCACATCTCACATCGATGTGTCTTGGCCACTCAACACCACATTGGCGGATCATGGTTTTCTCCCTCCTCAGACCTCTCTCAGCAAGTACTCACCCTGGCTGACCGCGATCACCCCATAAGCCTTGCCATTTCAGAAATGCTCTGACCCAGTTGTCTGACCATAAATATTTGGCCAAAATCACTCTTGCCCATTTCTTCTGCGTTCAACATTTCAACTACAAGTACCGAATGTTAGCTTACCATCTAAAATATCCCAAACCATAATACACTCCATTTTAGGAGACAGTCACATGGGAGTGGTCATAATGTTTTGGCTCAACAATTTGTGATCTGTGTAGTCAACATTGCTCTGCACAGATTCCGCTAAGAGTGGTCAACTGTTAAAAATTTCAACACAACAATCTGATTGCTCACCTCAAGGAAAGACACAGGAAAGACTATCAGGAGTTTCCGAAAAGCAAATACGTTCCAGTTAAGTAGGCTGCAGTACTACCAACTAACACTACTCTGTCAGTAAAGCAAGCGTTTGATAGCACAAGAAAATTCAGTTCCGACTTGAACTGACAGAGTAGCGTTAGATATTACTTGAAAAGTAATATTACTTACTTAAAAGATATTACTTGGAAAGTTATGTTGTTCATCACACGTGACACTCAGCCCTGCTCTGTAGTTGTGGACACCGGCTTTCAGTGATTAATAACACAACTGTAAGCAGCAGAATATTTCAAATGTGTAGCTGAGCACAAATACGATATTCTAAATTTACTTGTATTCCAACTGCTTGTAGCAGTTACTGTTCAGATTAGTAACTTTATCTTTATTTGTAAGCCAAGTGTTGGTAGCAGTCACAGTATAAACACTGCAGTAAAGCCATGCATTTTTTTGTTTTGTTAATATTAAGTGATATAAACATTACTTGACATGTATAATGGTAACTGAAAGCATTTAATGCTGTCAATATATATGATGCATAGTGTTTCAATTGTTTCCACTTGCCACCACATTTCTACTGGGTTAAGCCCTGAGCTTTCCAGCACATGGTATGTTCCTCTTCTGCGGTAAACATTCAGTCCCAGTCATGCCGCTGTGCCCGTTCTGAGTGTAAATTCCGCTCATGTCCTGTAAACCTCTTCTGAAAGGTTTCACTATGAATACAGTCAAGTTGTCCTTCCTGATGGTAATTCCTCTAGAAATAAAAATACCTCTTAAACCCTAACATGCCCACAATTCTGCCTCAGATCATTATGTCACAGTATCTTCCCAATTTTAATATTTTTGTTTGTTCATAGCCAAAAATCCCCAGACCATGTGATTTTTCCTGTTGCTTTGAGGGATAGCTGTAAAGGATTTGCATTGTTTATAAAATGACAGAATTTAATTGAAAAGGGTTTTCATGAGAAAAAGTATGATAATGATGATTAACTTAAACTTGCATGTCACAGTACATACAGTCAGGACCATAAATATTTGGACAGACGTTTCTCAATTTTTAAGTTCTATACATTACCAAAATAAATTTAGATATATAGTTTATAAATAAAGTCAGATTCAATTGAAGTGCAGATTTTCAGCTTTAATTCAGTGGGTAGAATAAAAACATTGCATAAAAATGTCGGGGAACTAAAGTAATTTTTCTACACAATCCCCTCCTTTCAGGGGCTCATAAGTAATTGGACAAATTAATATAACTGCAAATAAAATGTTCAGTTCCAATGCTTAGCTGAAAACCCAATGACTGCCTGAAGTCTTGAACTCATGGACATGACCAGACGCTGGGTTTCCTCCTTTCTAATGCTGTCAGGCCTTTACTGCAGCAGCTTTCAGTTGATGTTTGTTTGAGGGTCTTTCTCTCTGTAGTTTAGTCTTTAGCAAGTGAAATGCATGCTCAATGGGGTTGAGATCAGGTGACTGACTTGGCCATTCGAGAATATTCAACTTCTTTGCTTTAATAAAGTCCTGGTTTGCTTTTGCTGTTTTGGGTCATTGTCCATCTGTATTATGAAACGCCGCCCAATCAATTTGGCTGCATTTGGCTGGATTTGAGCAGACATGATGTCTCTGAACACCTCAGCACTCGGCTGCTTCCAATCTGTGTCACATCATCAAGAAACACTAAAGACCCAGTGCCACTGGCAGCCATGCACACTCAAGCCATCACACTGCCTCCACCATGTTTTACAGGTGATGCGGTGTTCTTTGGATCATAAGCTGTTCCAGCCCTTCTCCAGACTTTTTTCTTCCCAACGTTCTGATACAGGTTGATCTTGGTTTCATCTGTCTAGAGAATGCTGTTCCAGAACTGTGCTGGCTTTTTCAGATGTTTTTTTTTTTAGATGTCCAATCTAGCCTTTCTATTCTTAAGGCTTATGAGTGGCTTGCATCTTGCAGTGAACCCTCTGTATTTGCATTCATGCAGTCTTCCCTTTATGGTAGACTTGGATATTGATATGCCTACCTCCTGGAGAGTGTTGTTCACATGGTTGGCTGTTACGAAGGGGCTTCTCTTCACCATGGAAATGATTCTGCGATCATCCACCACTGTTGTCGTCGTCCGTGGATGTCCAGGCTTTTTGGCGTTGCTGAGTTCACCAATGCTTTCTCTGTCTTTCTTTCTTTCTTTCTTTCTTTCTCAGGATGTACCAAACTGTGGATTTTGCCACTGCTAATGTTGTGGCAATATCTCAAATTGTTTTTTCTGTTTTCGCAGCCTAAGGATGGCCTGTTTCACCTGAATACTGAGTTCCTTTGACCGCAGGTTGTATGTTCACACCTCAATCTTCCAAATGCAAACAAGACACCTCAAATCAACTCCAGGCCTTTTTTCTACTTAATTGATAATGAAAGAACAAAGGAATTGCCCACACCTGTCCATGAAATAGCTTAAGTGAATTGTCCAATTACTTTTGGCCCCTTTAAAAAGAGGATGGCGCATGTTAACGAGCTGAAACTCCTAAACCCCTCATCCAATTTGAATGTGGATACCCTGAAATTAAATCTGAGTCTGCACTTTATGTCCATGCCCATTGTATAACTTCAATTGGAATATATTTCAGTAAACTGGTAAAATAGTAAAACTTGTGTCAGTGTCCAAATATATATGAACCTAACTGTAACTGTATATTTAAACTTAAGTTAGCTACTGGAAATGCCCCAAGCAGCATTTTCTATGCCTGTTAATAATTATTCATAAAACAAAGAGATAGGAGTGGAACACTAAAAGATGAACATCGCCAACAGCCTAGACCCAAAATGGCATAATTATGTGGGAATCATGGAATGACAGAGTGCTGTACTGCATGTCAACAGGATTCTTTTAAATAACTAAACAGTCAGTTATTAACCAAAACGCTTAAGACCACTTTCACAACAGCACCTGAAATCACCTGAACGACCCATGGGGCTTGACGATGCGTCACCCGAGACTGAATGAAAGTGGCCTTACGTAAATCTGAAAACATCCACTTAATGTACCATCTTCTGATGAAACTTGCGAATTCTCCAGGGAATTCTTCTGCTTGGTTGATTAACTTATTCCCACTCAAGTACTAGCCTGACTTTACTTAAGTGAAGCTTGACAAAGGCAGACTGTGGTACCACATCAACCACATATTTAGATGAACCGTGGCTCCAATCAATTACCTTTAAACTGACACACAAGCTCTTTGCTTCTGTTAGCTTGCTGCCCTTTTAATAATAAACTTATTAGCATTATTACATAGGAAAGGAGGCTAAATGAGCCCTGTGAGCCCCATGAAAGCACATCAGATTGGGTGCCCAACCCAGACCAATGCAATTATGCTCCAAATTTTTGGAATTGTCCTAAGCCCCCCTTTACGGCACCCTGGACCGTAACCATTAAAATGAAACCACTACACAGATCACAAAGTACAGCCAGAAGGTGATGTGCTGATTCAGGATCTGGTGCACATGTAACAAATGAGAATGTGAGATGGTGACCTTTCATTGTCTGACCTTGAGGTCCAGAATGTGGTCTAAGGCGGCAAAGCAGCCATTCGGGCCGTACTGGGGGTCCTTGCCCCTCTCCTGGGGGGACAGCTTCAGCAGAAGCCTCAACCACCTCTCCAGCTTCTCGGACAGCAGCCTATAAACACGACAGACAGGTGTATGGATGGATGGAATCACATGCCGCTGACATGATTTTGCATTTTGAAAAATGTTACAACCACTCACACACAGAAATGAGAATCTGAAACTCTGAGCATTGCTTGACCTCTCATTTCAGCTGGAAATTGTGAAGTCTGCATGTCCGGAAAAACAACTTCCATGTAGGTGTGGCAGATGATAAAGAGACATTTAATTTTGTGAAGCTGTGGCAACACAGGAACTCAAATCACATAAATATGGTGGGAACTCACATCTGTGTAACACAGTATAGCCAACTTTTACACATAAGGGTCTGCAGCATTTCCAGAATGTCAGTCATGATCACATCATTTCATTCTTATAAGTCGGACATTTTGACAATATCATTCTCTGGATTAGAGAAGTGAGGATTTCTAAGGAACAACGAATATTGTTCAACTTTACCGTAACACCTCTGTAAAAAAGGTAATGGTTGTGAATGTGTGTGCAGTAGATGATATTAGGGAGCTTAAGTTGCTTGGATAAGAGCATCAGATAAATAAATAAATGTTAATGCAGATGGGGGCGATGGCATTTGTGTGTGGTGGTGTGTGCTGCAGCTGTTTAATGGTGGCATGGAAAGCTCAGGCTCTCTTACTTGTTCAGATTATTGGGTTGGGGCAGGTGTTTGGAGAAATGCACTTCATTCGCCAGGTCTTCATATATCATGATGTCATCGTCATGCTTCTGTTTTAACTTGGCAAACCTATAGGAGGCGACAAGCAGGGATGGGTAAAATGTTAATTTCAGTTTTCCGCGTGTGCTTTCTGCCTGTAGATGGTTGTCCGCATGGCAGCTTGTGTTCATACTATTATACATCATATATTTGGCTGCGGATGCCGAGTGTCGCGGTCAGTGCATGCATATAGCAGTGATGTTCCACCAAACCAGTAGAGGGCAGATATATAAACACAAATACAAGCATTGTAGTGAAATGGTAAACTTTTATCAATAGTTTTAAAGTTACAGTGGTACCTCAGTTCTCGATCTCAATAGAAGTCAAATTTATTAAAAGTCGAACCAACCAGTTCGAAAAAAAATGATCTAGAGCTCGATCTGAATCTCAGAAGTCAAACCGTGAACGCCAACCTAAGATAACTTGTACGCACGGGGAAATGAGTCATGCGGCACGTCTCTCAGCGGAAACAAAGGGTAAAGCTTCAGTCTTGCCTCACATTAGCTGTGATAGCATCGTGCATGTTTACACTAGCTGAATACATATATTTAGACAGTAAAACTACATTTAGACAATGATAGACAGTAACAGTAATTATTATTATATAATAAAATGCATTTTAAAATAAAGATTTCTTATTCATTATTTTAATAATAATAATAAACCATTAATACGTTTAATTATAATAATATTGTCGTGCCGAGCGGGGATGGAACGGAGACAAAGGCGCAGACGTCATGGTATCGGGGAATATGGGGTTTAATTAAAGGTAAGGCAGGCAAAACGCAGACTGACAATACAATGACCGGACTGGGGAAACAAACTGAAACACGGACTAAATACAGAGGACTAATGACAACAACCAGAAACAGCTGATCACACAGGGATTACACACGGGGTTAACGATGGGGCGTGGCACACGGAAGGAGCGGACGATCGGGGCAGAACACATTGTTTAGATACATTTATTTTCTTACTTTACAAATTACTGTTTTGATAAATGTGCTTAGATGTGTTTAGTACAGTTTATGCTCTTCTTGTTTTATCCGGTTCATTTTGTGTTTAAATGCTAAAAAAAAAAAAACACATTTAGGTGTAAGTTTTTGGGGCCGGGAACCAATTAATTGGTTTTCCATTATTTCTTATGGGGAAAATTCGATCACAACTCGAACTTTTTAGGAATCGATCCTGAGTTCTGAGGTACCACTGTATTAGTCAAGGTTTCCACAGTATTATGGTAATAAAGCATACTATGGTTTTTTGAAATCCTTACAACAAAATCAGTCAGAATTCCTCTCCCCCTGCTTGGCGAATTTTATCACCAGTATTTCAAAATGCTGGAATAGTGCTGCTTTGTAAAATATCATATACCTCAGTATAATGTCTGGACAGTATGAAGAATTAGATATGCGTGTACCTCCCTCCTCATGCGGCTGCTCACACAGTACAATAACAACTATTCTTCCGTGCTGCCACCTACTGGAACTACCTAATCAGACTTGCACTATCTTGCACATGCGCAGTCGATGTGCAGTTTCTGCTAGAAATCTGGGCTACACGTGCACCGTTTGCAGCTGTCTGCAACCAAACCTGAATGATGGAATTTTTATCACCTCCCCTCGTCTGCAACCAAAAAGTTGGGAAAGTGAAGCACACATTGGCCTTTAAGCCGCACATCATTTAATGTAATAACTGACCCACATAACCGCAATACATCTGTTCTGCAATTCCTTGTCCATTATCCAGGGTTCAGTGAACCTAGAAGCTATCCTAGGAGGCCCAGGGAAGGGGAAAACCCTGGATACAATGCCAGTACCACCTTAACATGCTCTTACATACGACAATTAAGACAAAAAACTATGCCACAGCAATCTGGAAGTTAAGAAGAAGTCAAATGTTACTACAACTATGTAAATAGAGTTTATCTTAAGTTTAGGTTAAGCTGTGACCTCACAAATTACTATTTGGATATCCCTGTTTTACATGTTGTACATAAACTTTTCACTGAACACTTCATAACACAATGAAATTTCCATGACTGCAGAGAAAGTCATAGTCCTACCCTAGATGATGCTGCCACAAAAAGCAGCATGCAATGTAAGAAGAAGAGAAACACTAAATAAATTATTACTGTTACGCAATTGGGGAGAGGGAAATACCCCCGAAAATCCAACCAGTGTCATTACTGGACACAACGTAGAAGATAGGAGACAGTTTACATTTCCTGAAAGTGCTTTTCGTAAGCAGCAGTTTATGATTTAGAATGTATAAACGACGACAGGAGAATGCAGGGCTACATGTCAAAACTGTTTGGGACAAGGAAGCAAACACTTATGTCTCTACGTAAGCATCTGAACCATCTAAGCATCTAACACTGTGGCATCCGTCAAACACGTATGACTCATGTTCTGATCGTCATAGAAACCCCATGCATTCCGTTATAGCTATAAGCAAAAGCTTTTATCCAAACAGACTTTTACTTGGTTTATACAGTTGGATAATATACTAAAGAAATTCAGGACAATAAAAAGGTATAACAGCAGTGACATGTGACAACCAGCACATGTACACAGGCAAGTAACTCATGCGCATGTACATAGTTAAAATGTAGACTCTGATAATGGGAAAAAGCCAGCTTCTTTCAATTCGGAAAATCGTGTTAAACAGGCACGTAAGAGCACAGGGTATCAGCAGCAATCATTTCCAGTAATTCTCCATGAATACAGGTTGGTATATAACACCTCTTCCGCTTGGCATTTAGCAGACAGATAAACAAGGGGGCGTAAAATAAAACTACTAATGGGTGATTTATACCAAGTTACAAGGTCAGGCCAAGGTTTCTGTTAGTGTAGCTGTGTGTAGCTCACTGTTAAAGAAATAAGAGGAAACTGATGAAGCTTGGCCAGGGGAATAGAATCCACCCTCTACTGAATGAACAAGATAACGGGGACAAACCCAGAGCTGCACCCATCACAGCTTTCATAGCAAAACAGCCAATGCGTCTTTCACAGCTACAAGGACCATCCGAATAAACGCAGTGCATTTATGTTGTTCTGTTAAGACGAAATGCCTGTATACCTGTTGTCTAATTTTAACTCACCAATTTTACCATTTAAGAACTAGCTAGCTTTATCTTATACAGGAGAGGCTGTAACTCAACTTATTGCCGCTATATTTGGTCTTCAAAAGGTCCCAGAACGCAAAGTGTTATTAAAACTCTGAAGTACCAATGAAACTCATACGTGTCGCAGCAGACCTGTACTAGATCAAATAATGTGCCGTCTAATAAACGAGCTGGTGGCGTGGAGAGGTGCATGATGGTACCAGAGCACAGGCTGCCACGCGGGCAGGAATGGGCGGAAGCCGGTGATGCACTCAAACACCAGTGTCCCGAAGCTCCAGTAATCCACCGTCACTGTGTACTTCTGCTGCTCCACCAGCTCCGGGGCCTGGCCAAGGGCACAAGGGGCAGGAGAAAAGGAGCAGAACCACAGGAATTAATGGGGGAAAGGAACAAACAATTAGCTGGAGTAATTCAAGAACCACAGGGAATTAACTAAGAAAGTCATCAGGTGGTAGCAGGGCTCTGGGAGAGATGAAGATTAGGCAGAAAACACAAGTAAATTTAAAACCATTGGCCATGTGGAGTAAAAAACAAGCATGAATCTTACCAGATACTGCAGAGTTCCCACAAAGGAGGTGCACAGGCTGTTTTGGTCAAGTTCCTTAGCATAACCCAGGTCTATGATCTTATGGATCAACTGAGATAAAGAAAGACAATCTTAGAATCAATAAATCCTTAAAAGTACTTACTAAATACTTAAAAATACTAATATTACCGTAATACTGAATAAGCAGTTACGGATGGCAAAACCCTGCACAGGATGCCAGTTAGGGGTAAATGATTTATTGATTTCAAATTGAAACTGTGATTTGAAACAAAGCAATTAACAAATCGCAAAGGCAGCAGTTTAGGATATGCATTATACACAGGGTTTGACATAACTGGTACACAAGTACACATTCACCTTTAAAAATGATATGTGCGGCAATCAGTTGTTGTAACAGCGTGAATGCATACGTATTTTATGTGTATTTGCGTCGATATGACAAGAAATTATCATGCATTTTAACCTTTATATGCTAATTCGTACTTAATTTGCGGTATAGAGTGAGATTTTCAATCAGATTCAAATCTGCAGACAAATGCACATGCATTTTGCAAGTAATAGTTTTATTACCTTGTAAATAGTCTGTAGGGTTTGCAAACCACCCCAAAGCCTTTGATGTAGCTAATTTTAGATTTATAATGGAATTACACGTATATTTGCCATACGTTTTCTTGCGTGAGAGTCTGAAAGCGTGAATCTCATGCCAGATGTGTCGAGAGCTCACAACCCTGAAGATGTACCTACATATACAGATGGTCCTGTACTTACGAACTTTCAACTTATGAACTTTCAGACATACGAATGAAGAGGACTTTCTGTTCCTTGGGCTCCCGTTCCCTGTCCGCAGCATGAATTTTTTTTTTCTAGACACCAATTCCGCCTACTACGACTTCTGGCTGCTACTCCCACCTTGCAGCAGCGTAGCGTGTGTACTCCCAGCATCCTAGTTCTTTGTACTTGCGTATACCCTTAAAATGATGTTGAATAACAACTTGCGAACATTTCAAGTTCTGCTGGGCGATAAAACGATCTAGATTTTTTATCGATAAAAAATGAGGACGATCACTATGATACACACAGACAATAAAACTCGATCAACCAAATTTGCTCCGTTTTAGAGAATGCGCTGAGACAGACAACTCAATGGCCTATCGAGCAGAGGTTTACTGAATGCAAGCACAACAGCCAATCACCGACGACGTTATAATTTTGCCCATCCTCCCTTAAAGAAGCAATGGGTGCGTTCGACTTGAGCTTAGACTGTTAGATCTGTCTGCAGCTGACGTGACGTGGAACGCGATCTGCCGGTGGCTGCAAGGGTGGAGTATAAACTGACTGCAGCCAAGTCGGACAACTTCTACTCCTCGTAGTGTGCGAGACCTGACTGCAATGACAGCACTGCCAGAAGGGTGTAGATAAATCTATACAAATATCACCTGCATGCACATTACTTCTTTTACAATAACCAACTCCTGATACAAACTGTTAGAAGTGAATAGAACTATTGTGTATAGTGGCCCTGTGTAAAAAGATAGCTGCCAGGAAAAAGATCAAATACATGTATTTCAAGGATTCAAAGTTATTATTGTCATGTACAGAGTACAATGCAATTCTTACTTGAATGCCTTCTTCACAGACTGGACGATTAAACAAATAAAGCAGCGCAACATTACAGTAACTAACAATAAACAAACCACTAACTTACGTGTACTGTTAGAGCATTTATGTAATTTATTTAAACTTTATTTTACCAAGTAAATGAACTGAAAACCAGTTCTCACTGCTTTACGTATTTTTTGGGAGAAATAGCAGATAACGCATTGGAACTTCTTGGGATACAAACGTCATGCGTGTGACTAAAATCTTCAGGCAATAAGGGCAAAGTTGTGTCGTCACGGAGGCGGTTTCAGTTTGTGCTGCACGGTCTGTCTCAAGTCGTCTTGCTCTCGCGAGGATTTTGTACCATGTGACATGGTGACGCGTGGTGATGTTTTGCAGCACCGGACAAAAAAGTCTAACCATGATTTGGCATTTTTTGAATAAGTGTTTTTTGTTTGGTTTAGATACTTTTCTACCTCAGATTTTAAAAAAGTGTTTAAGAGACCAAGAATACAGGAAGATACTTGTTGCAGTCAGTTCTGTCCTGCTTTATTTTATATTTGCCCTTTAACATATTTGCAATATTATACAGTTTTGCACATTGTTACATTATTATATGGTTTGGTAATTTGAACTATGTTTCTTTGAATACTTGAAAATCAATAACCTTTTATAATTTTATGGGAATTTTGTATGTAAACAGAAATATTTGTTGGAAAATAAGTATTTGTTTACTAATATTGTTTATTTCAATGTATTCATTCTATTTGTCAGAATAGGGTTATTTTTATTATTATTTTGATTATTACATTATTACATGGAATAGCATTGTGAAACTATAATATTGATAATTATCGATATCGGTCAATACAGGAATTTTTTTTTTTTTGCCATATCGCCCAGCTCTAATTTCAAGTTACGAACAGCCATTCAGAACGTCTCATTCGTAAGTAGGGAAGCGTCTGGTACATTAAATTGCATCACCTGAGTTGATTTGTATAAAAAAATAACATTATACAGTTGTTAAAAAGCGGAAACTTGGAGTAACATGAAATCACCAATAACTACATCTATTTATTCAACGTTTTATAAAATGCATACTGCGTTTGAAAATTTACTGGACAGGACAGAGAAGCCATTCTATTAAGAACCTTATCGCTTTTCGGTTGAGGGTGTTAGATTTCGTTGCTGTTATTAACACCAACGGCACAACAGAGCAAACAAGAGAGCTGCATACACCAAAGTATGTCTTGCTTGGAGGTTAAAGGAGTTTCATGTTCATTGGCGTGGGAAACGGCGGTTCTAGTGTTATTAGGGGTCCAAGCAAGGTTAGCTGCAAGACCGCTATTGTTTTTCTTTTAAATGGAATTGTTTTATTTTTATCATTATTACTTAATTTAACATAACAGTCGCAGTTTGTTGTCTGGTAATTCAAAAAAGTAAAATTCATGTTGGAAGCAATTCTATTACACACTCAATATTGAGCTGAAACTTGACATATAAAAAATATCGCAAATCAAATCGTAATCGCGATTAGATATTTTCTCCAAATCGCTCAGCCCTAATGCTAGGCCATCAGAGGGCATATACCACTAAGAATTTATAAACCCCATTTAGCAGGGGAAGAACATGCAAACTGTACACATACAGAGGGAGCGGGAATACAACTCTAACACAAGCCGACAGGGTGAGCCCATATGCTACACACAGGGACACCATACCACACTGAAGTCTCAGCCTAATATGTTTCAGTCAGCTTTCAAGACCACAGCACAGCAAAAAGCCTGTAACTAGCAGATACTTTTTTACATGAGTGTTGCTCTCATCCTGTCTTTGATATGCAGGAATGAGCAGAGGGTTCATTGTGTAAATGGAGATCCACATTGTAGTGCCGTGAGACCATACTGGGATGAATGCCGCTCCACTAAGGGAAACACAACAAAGGTACAGAGTAGTGACTCACTCGCTTGTCTCCTTGCTGCAGAACGATATTCTCTGGCTTGAGGTCTCTGTGGATGATCCGCTTCTTGTGAAGGTAGGTCAGCGCAGAGGCTGTCATTTGCAGGGGAGGGGGGCGCAGTCACCCATACAGTTTTTGTAACTAGACTAAAAGCTCATCAGGCCTTTACTTGCTACTACACCCCCAATTAAACAATCCTGGCACTGCAATGCAGTGAAATCCATTATTATCAGTTATTAAACGTCATTTTGTGGATTGCCTGATCCCTCTGAAGTGAAACCCTGCTAACCAGTTCCAAAAAGGAATTATCTACAAGACATCAGGATTTCTGAGTAATGCATGACTAAATATTTTCATTGTATTGAATGATATTTTTGACATCAGTACTTATTTCTTGGCCTAGCTAGAGGGGTTGCTTTCACTGCTGAGCCAATCTAACAGGCCGGCCACACATGGTGATGACAAGCCCTGAATCATGCAAGGTTCCGCGCCAGTGGGTATTTGCTGAGAAAAAGGAGGAACAGCTCTGTTGTGTGACATATCCAGGAAGACTTCATCATAATTTAAAGATTTACTCGCAATCATGTTTGGCAGAACCTTTCTTAGCTTTGAATAACCCAAATAAGAATTAGACGACAAAATTATTTTTAAGATTTTGTCATCCAAGAAATGACATTAACTGGATACAAGGGTGGTAATTCGGTATGGTCTTTACATCCAGGCTGCATCGCAAACACATTTCAAGTTATCATACTGCATTTTCCACTGCCGTTCCACATCGGTGGGATTCAAATTGTTTCTGTTCTCCTCTCACTAATTTACGTTTGTTCATGTTTATCTGTAATTTTGTCATAAGGTCCAATGCTTGGCAACCTGACAAAAAAACGTGCGTGCGTGTGTGCGTGCGTGCGTGCGTGCGTGCGTGTGTGGTGAAGTGGGAGCCTATTGTCCCTCGATACTCACAAATGTCCCGCAGAAGGATCAGGACGGAGCCCTCTCTCATTCCACAGCAGTTTTCCAGCCCATTCAGGTACTGCAGGGACAGAAGGTCCAGCAGCACTTCAGTGACACGACCATCAACTCAAAGCAAGGTATGTGGGGGTGTACTGGGAGGGTTTACTGTCAGGACATATTAAGGGAGCACCATCGTAATGGGATTGTACACTGGTATGCCTTGGGGGTGGACAGGTTCCTAACCTTTCGCAGGTCGCCACCCTGACAGTACTCCATGGCCAGCAGGGGGAGATCATTGGGGCCCTGTTTCTGCAGCTCTTCTGGGACATCCCGACCAGCCACCACATTCTCATGGTTCAGTCTGAGGGAAATGAGATACCATCACACACATAAACACACACATACACATAAACACACACATACACATACACACACACACACATACATACACACACACACACACACATACACACACACACACAGTTCACTTCCTGAGTTTTCCCTTGAGACGACAGGAAAAATGTCCTCACAAGGTAAAACGTATCATGTTTTTATTACATTGTAGGACACTGGGTCTATGTCATTTATGCAATAATATCGACATACACACACCTCATGTTTCCCTCATCATTATAGGTAGCAAAACAACCGCAAAAACCACGTATTTTAAAATAAATAAATACACAATAAAAATCAGAGATTAGGGTTTAACAGTCTGTTTAGAAAGATGCCTTTATTTGGTTAGGGTAAAGCCACAGGCATTCAGCACAAACAGGCTGCGTCAGTCTCAGGAAACAGACACTCCAAGACGCTCCCATTGAGGTTGATAAACACCACCAAACTTATTAAGAAGAGGCAGAAAAACAGGCCAATACTAAACAATTTATTCACTGGCTGTGAACCGCAGCAGCTCAGTCTCTTCTGTAACCACAAAGCTGCCACTTGCCAGAGTCCCGTGGATCCCTGTTTGGGAATGGTGAGCTGGCCAGGTGCAACCTCAGGTTACTGCTGTAGCAGGGGTCCATCAGGGAAAAGTGCACATAAATCCCAACCCATTTCAAAAGGTGAAAACTGAACCTGGCATTTTAAAGAGAAAAATCCTGAAGAATTCGGAATGAATTTTCCACTCATGTATTTACTGCTAGTGTTTTATTGCATCATACAGTACTGCCCTGTTCATTTTGTAAACAATAAAAGGATAAGATATTTTCCTACTATGCTCCCCCGCCAAGAGTTAGTATGGATACATTTTTTTTAAAAACAAACACAAGACAGTTAGTGCTGTTTAGATAATCAGCACAAGTTCTTATTATACTGTATATATTAATACCATGCACACAAAATAAAACATTTTTGCAATTAATAAATCAAATTTCCTAAATTCCTTTCTTACATGAGGCACAAATTTAATCTCTAATTCCATCCATTTTTTTCTCTTAGCAGAATGATAAACAACATGCGTAATTCATCGCTATCACTGCATCTCATCCTGTTAAGCCCATAATGTCATAGGAGTATGTTTATACAGATGGGAAAAAAAGTCTGCAAACCCAAGAATTCCTTCTGCAATTAAATGTCTCCATGTGTAATTATTAGATTTATGATACATCCCTAGCTATCAATTAAGATAATGATTATTTCTAAGGTCAGGTCTGGTTTGGGAGCCTGCACTGTCGTAGTGTGTTGCCGCATCCAGCATACACCTAAACACCTCCGGGTCCCAGCTGGCAACTCCCCAGGTACTGCAGTGTCAGAGGTTCAGTGTCCACTCTGCACAGCACTCATAGTACTGGTGTACAAGCCACCATGACATCCAGCAACTTTGAGGGATCCTGTGAAGTCTCAGGATGTCCTACAGGGCAACCTGGTCAACCGAGTTGAACGCTTTACGAAAGTCAACAAAACCTGCATAGAAACTCTGCCGAAATTCACGTTTTTCGCTTGATGAGAACTCTCAGTGCCATGATGCCGTAGATGGTAGACTTCTTATGTGTAAAACCACACTGCTCTGGTCACTGGCAGGCAAGCAAGTGACCCTAGGAAGGACCTTACCCAGCACAGAGAGCAGTGTTATCACCCTGTAGTTGCTGCAATCCAAGCGATCACCCTTCCCTTTCCAGATAGGGACAACAAGTACCATTTTCCAGTCAGTTGAGATGATGCCATCTCCCAAATGGAAGCAATGATTGCCTGCAATGCCTGGAGGACAGCCTTACCACCAGCCTGGAGAAGTTCACCCCAGATACCACAGATCCCTGTAGCCTTTCCTCCCCTCAGCTGGTTCACCACCTGTCCAATCTCAGTGAGATTAGGTAGTCAGTCATTAGGTGAGATCAGCCTCAAGAACTGTGGACCCAGAGATGTTCAACATCCTAGCCAGAGGATCAGTTTTAAACAGCTGCTCAAAGTAGCCAGCCAAGTGGGTCACAACTGCTGTGTCATCCAGAAAATCCATTCCATCTCCTGCCCTCACTGCAACTGTCTGAGGAGCAGATTCAGATGTGCGTAATGCTCAGTTCCTCAGTAAGCAGGATGTGGGTTGCTAGACCATAGATGGAGTGTCACTTGCTCACAGACGGCTCTAACCAACGCCTCCTTATCTGCCCTCAAAGCCATCCCTCTCAGGTCCCGGTATACACCGGATACGCCATAAAGCCATGCGCTGTGACTCCTTTTGATAATCTCCAGGGTGCTCTGTGAGATGGAACACCTCCTTCTGAGCACACCAGCAACACCAACACAACCCTCAGCAACTTTCAGGGTCTTGTCTCAGAAGGTCTCCCACATCATGTTAGAATCAGCAGTCGTACCCAAGTCTGCAAGTTCCTCACACATTAGAAAAAGCCTGATCTTAGAGTCTGGCTACATCCAGCCTCATAGCCGGAGTAGGTGGTAGCCTACAGAACCTAGGCTGGATCTTCAGAGTAGTAAAAACAAGTCATCTGTGCTTAGAATTCACAAACTGGGCACTTCTGTAAACCCAGCAGGTCTGCAGGAGCCTCCAGCATCTGCCCACCACCACACCACCAGTATTGGAATATCAAGTTCAACGATGGTGCTTAGGATGCTGGAACCAAGACACAGAGATATGCACCTGACCTTTAGCAAAGTGAAGGAACCCATGGGAACCAACACAATCCTCATAACCAGCCCTGTCAGTGCTAGTGATCGTACTGAAGTCACCCATGACCAGAGGACTGTCACCTCATGGGCACCCATCAACCACCAAGTGAAGCGACGAATAAAATGTCTCCCTCATTGAGACATCACTCACCATGGTTGGAGCATACACTGGGACAATAGACAACAGACAAGACACTCAGAGTCTCAGCCTGAATCTCATAATACACTCGTTGAAAGGAGTGACACCGGATAGCAGCGGGATGACCCAATTCGCCACAGTAACAGCCTATCCCTGAGTATGGCAGCCATGACAGTGACCAGCGCTCGGTTTCTCGAAACATACTTAACACTACGTCGTTCGTAAGTTCTATGTAAAAGAAACCTTACGATTGATGCAGCGTTAAGGCGTTGAGAAACTCACCGCAGACTAATAACTGGTGTATCCTCTTACAGAGGTCTGGCTATTCACTATTCTGAAGGCCGCCACTGAAATGTTAAGTTTACGAAGCTCCTCCTACAGCAGAGAAAGATGGTCATCTTGCCAGAGAGATAAGATGTTCCATGTGCCGACCCGGATGGGCCTCCTCAGATTGGGACCCAAGTGCTTCCATGCAGCGGGTGACACCTCAGCACCACACCAGTTCCAATCCCCAACAAGTCTGATCCTATTGGCTCTCCGGCGGTTTCAACTCTTCCAGGGATGAGCCTCCCAAGGACTTTCCCCCTCCATCCCCTTCATGGTGTGTGCAGCCTTCCTGTGTGTGGCTGCAGCAGAGCTACTCCTGTGGAGAGCAGGGAAGTGTGCTGTTTGGCTGGTCGGAGCTGTGTGAAGTTTCTATGCTGGCTGGAGCACCAATCTCGCCACCAACCCCCTCAATTTTCCCTGCAAGTTGGAGGACCGCTTGAAGGACCAGATTAAGTTTAACGTCATATCCAGGATATTCGTAAAGTCATCACTCGTCCAGTCAAGTTCAAGTGTGAACAACGGTGCAAATCCCTCTCTGAATATTATTTTCCCCAAAAGTATTCAAACACTCTGTTTTCCTGAACCACTATGGCCTGAGCTGCTTTACATTTCCACTTGTAAATGTTCTATTGAAAACTTGGAAAAATAACATCTGACAAAAACAAAATCGATTCCAGATGGCAAACAGAATCATATAACTGAAATAACAAGTGTTAAGAAAAGACAACTCCTTCATTTTCACTTCATAATCCAAGAAAAATATGATCACAAAAAAAAAAAATTACAAATTACAAAACTTAAAACAATTGACAAGAAACTCTGTAGGAATGTTATTTTTGTTCAGTACATGACTAACAGTGAGAGATAACCAGCCCAATCAGAACATTTCATCATATTACACATGAGATGCCGGGTCAATTCACAGGAAGTGCAGAGAGGCAGCACTATGCGCTGACGTCCGAGAGGCCAATAAAAAAGCTGTGTTCCCATTTCCTACCATGAGCATATCCACCTACTGATATTACTATTATGTTTATCATTCTTTTGATGCTTGGTTAGTGCTTACATTTAATGTGCTGCACGTGTTTTCTGAAGAAATACAGGATAATGGACTCATCATGTCTGCCCCCACAACCCCTTCTAATGGACTCTGGCAGTCATGCCCCCCGCCCCCGGCTAATGCCGAAATAACCCAAGTCCTTTGATTCCGATGGAGCTCGACTGAACAAACACTAAGACATAACAAACAAACAGCAGGTGGTCTTCAGTCATTTTCGGTCAAGTGACGTACATTACGGCCAGGCTACGCAAAGCACTCCTGGCAGAGCCGTGTGAGCCGGAGTGCATTTCGGGTTGTGTGTGGGGAGGAGGTCTGGCTGCTTCTGCGGTGTGCGGCTCTGTGGGTCTCTGCTGCGTAGGTGCAGCAGGTCCTGCGGCCCAGACCCAGTCTGTCTGTAGGAGACGGTATTAAAACGGAAAACCCGAAAACAAATAAGCCACAGGCCCCCAGGGCCGACACCACGACAGCCTGGAGGCCCGTGTTTTTCGTCAAGCCCGTCTGCGCGCGGCGCTCCATAAAACAGGCGGGAGGGTAAAAATAGCTGAGGCTTTCATGTCCTCATTATGTCGTCGGTCACTTTTATTACTGGGGAATCTTAAAATACGCCTCCCTTGTTTTCCTGCCTGGATCTCAAACGCCTGTTTGCCCAGATCGTAACCCTGAGAGAAACCCCCATACCACCGGTGCAAGGGGAAAAAAAAAAAAAAAAACACACTAAGGACGAGCTTCCTGACCCATTGGAACGTTGATTTTAGCCCAAGCCAAGAACATTGGTGTTGAGATACAGACTGCAGAGAACATGGGCGACAGAGCTGAAATGAACTCCACTCTAACCTGTCCTCCTGAGTGGCACCCTTAGGCGGCCGTAGGGCTGTGCTACAAGAGGCCACCGATTGGTCCCCATTGTGCCACAAGTGATTTTGTGAGGTGAGGAGGCCCAGACAATGCAAAAAGCAGGATGAGCAGATACAGAGCTATGGCTGTTACTCTGTAGTAGGGCTGTAGTAGGGCATTGCATTGCGCATGTGCAATAATCACCAGGGCTTCAGGTGACAGGCGAAACATTTGGCCAGGCGGCAGCTTTTCGGTGCTATACGGACTAGGGATGGCACGGTTCATGAAAAAAAACCGAACCGTTCGGTTCGCTTGTCTCGGTTCGGAGCATGCA